ACCACATGGAAGCCATTGTAAAAATGCTGAAAAGTCTATAACTTTAGCCTTATTTCTTATTTTCCTAACTTATACTGTGTATATCTGTAATGTAGCGTAACTTCTTTTTCCTTTATTTTCTCTATTTTTGTATCTAGGTATTTTGTACCCAAGATGGCACCATGTTGGCAACATTGTACACTTTTCACTGTACTCCTGTTCTTTTGTAACTTGAGTACACGTAACAACAAACCTAATTCTAAATACTCTTTCCCAGGCATCACAATGAAGTTTGCATTCAGCTATTAAGTTCAACCATGCAAGATCTACACAGATTTGGATAGATCCATGGACTTTTCATACTAGATGACAATCTCTGAGCATCAGCTTGTGTCTTTTCCTACAGACGAAATACCCTTGCTTCAAAATAGTCAGTTTCTACCTTTACAATTCGATGTACTGATATTCAATGTAAACAGCCACTGGCTTTGTTATAGGATGTGTTAGAAAGCTGATAACAGTATTCTTCCTTTTGAACAACTGTAGAAATGGAGCTCTGAAGATTTTAAATTGAGCCTCCTGACTTTCCAGGTCTTCCACTCTGCACATCAGATGTAAGTTAGTAACTTGGTCTTCCCTGCTTAAGAGTGAATGACTGTATGTGATTCTAAGCCAAAGTTAAAATTTTTCTTTCTATTTTGAAGGGTACTATTCAATTGCCACATAACTTGTTCTATGTCTCTTTGCTCATATAGTTTTAGGTGAGGGTGAAGAGTTTGTCCAACCATAATTTGGTATCAGAAATAATTCAATCTGCTTTCCATGTCTATATTAAAGCGTGTTTTGTTTACATTGACTAGAATACAAGAATGATCCTGGGGACGAAGGGCTTGTCATATGAGTCGTCACTGAGGACTCTAGGTCTGTACTCCATTGAATTTGGAAGAATAAAAGGGGGGAATTCTGATTGAAACTTATGGAATACTGAGAGGCCTGGATAGAGTAGATGTGGAGATGTTTCCACTAGTAAGACAGACCAAGACCCAAAGGCACAGCCTTGGAGTGAAGGGACAATCCTTTAGAACTGAGATGAGAAATGAGATGAGAAATTTCTTCAGCCAAAAGGGTATCAAATCTATGGAACTCATTGCAATAGAGGACAGTGGAGGCCAAGTCTTTGAGCATAGTTAAGACAGAGATAGAGAGGTTTCTCAACCCATTCTCTTGCCTTCTCCCTATAACCCCGACTCCCTACTAATCAAGAACCTAATCAGACATGATCAAATAGCCTAAATTCCGTTCCTATACCTTATGGTCTTGTACGAGTACAGCAGTAGCTCCAAAATTGATTCCTGGATTTTTGCTTTTCTTGGAGAGATCCAGCAAACATCTCAACATAATTAAGATCATCTATTTCATGAAACTTCCCATATTTTTGAAGGCTTCCATTTGAATTATTCAGAGGGGACTTCTTGCTACAATTGATAAACGGTGAATCTTTCTTTGAAAGTGACATTTAACCAGACAATCTTCACACAGGTGAATTTTCCCATCACACTAATTATGAGAATTAGAGCCAGTTTTATCAGATTAATTCATGCGACATGGGTAGCACTGACTAAGTCAGCACATATTGGCCACCCTGAATTTCCCCTCGAGGCGGTGGTGAACGGTCTTGAAATATTGCAGTGTTTGGAGTGTGGATACATCCACAATACTTTAGGGTGTTCTAGGATATTAACAGTGAAGGAGTGGTGGGACAGTTTCAAGTCAGAATGCTTTACAACTTGTTGGAAAATCTTCAGGTAGTGGTTGTTCCTATGCATCTGCCTTTCTTTCTAGGTGGTATGGGATTTGAAAGATGCCATTGAAGGAGCCTTAGTGAGAAACTACAATGCATCTTGTAGATAGTCCACACTGTTGTCTGTGTTTGTGGTGGGGCAAGAGAATAAACATAAAAGGTGGTGGATTGGACGCCAATCAAGTGGATTGCATGGAGCTTCAATACTTGTTGGAGCTGTACTCATCTGGGCAAGTGGAACTTATTGCAGCACAGTCCTGATTTGTGCCTTATAGATGGTAGGCAGGAATAAAAAGTGAGGCAGCAAGTTAGCATAATTTGTAACCTCTGATCAGCTGTTAGAATCACAGTATCTTTTTGGCTGGACCAATAGAGTTTCTGGTCAATAGTAACGGACAGGATATTAACGATGGGTGATTCAACAGCATTATTGTCACTGAATGTTAAAACAGGCATAGTTAGATTTTCTCTTGTTTGAGACAGTCATTGCCTAGCACTTACGTAACATAACTGTTACTTCTCACTTACCAGCCCCAGTCTGGATGGTGTTCAGGTCTTAATGCTTATGAACACAAGCTACTCCAGCATCAGAGGAGTCATGAATGGTGTTGAATATTGCAGTCATAACTTAACACCCTCACTTCTGAAATATTATTCAGAAAAAGTCATTAAAGCAACTGAAGATGATTGGATTTATGATACTACCTTGAGGCACTCCTGTAGCTATATCTTGGGACTGACAGGGTTGATGTAACATAAGAAATAGGAGTAGAAACAGGCCTTTTGGCCCCTTAAGAGTGCCCTGCTTTTCTAGAAGATCTTAGCTGGTTTGCCCCAGGCCTAAACTCCTCTTCCATGTCAAATCCTCATAGGCCTCAACTCCCAAATATTTTAAAAATCTCTCTCTCTTTTAAATACTTTCAATGATCTAGCCTTGACAATTCTGTAATAGAGAATTTAACATTCATGACCCTCTAGGTGAAGAAATTTCTTTATACCCTTGTCTGGAAAGAATGTTCCCTTATTCCGTAACTATGTCCTTAATAAAAAGATTTCCCCACTAATGGAAACATCTTAACATCTTGTCAAGTCTCCTTATGATTTTGTATGTTTCGATAAGAACATTCTTCATCCTGCCAAGCTCTACCGAATAAAGGTTTAACCTGACTCTGTTAGTACTGTCATTTTGTTTGGTGATTCATGTCTTAAATTAGGCATGGCAAGAGTTGCATCACAGAACTATCCCACAAAAATAAAGTCATAATAAAACCTTAATGTTTTGTGCAGAGCGAACAAAGCCTTTCACTACATGAGAGTGGAAGACTAACCTCAAAAGAGCACCATCTCTAGTTTGTAATATTGCTAGCTACACAGCAATACATCATGCTGTTAGGCCTCACCTGGTGCTATCAATTAGACCATGCTGCAGCAAGAGGTAACTACTCACAGCAGTCCACAAATCAGCTAATGTCATATTTCATTGTACAGGTGGTGACTGCACTGCTGAATGTATATAGCAACTTGGTCCACATTTACTTAGCATTTGATGTCTTCAATTTGACATGGTCAGTTCATATGTAATATCTGCCAGGAATAAAACATTTCAAAACGCAATCTTTGGTTGATCTCCTGCTTTTAATATCCTATGCCATTGTCATATTTTCTATACCCACTCTACTTTAGTTGCATTATCATTGAATTTTCAGATGTTGTATAATTTGTTTGTTTTTGTGACCTGGCATAAATTTTTACATTTCTCTTTGAACATCCACCACTCTAACAAGCCTGCCAAAATACAAGAGTGAATTATTTATAACATTAGAATAAGCTACCCAGTCTTAAGGTGCAGTTTAGAAACTCTTCCAAAAAACGTCCTTGCAAACAATTTTTGAAGATTTCAGTTAACAGACAAAAACAGCAAGGAATGTGTAATGTACTAGAAAAGGTCTCCTGACATTTTTAAAATACAAAAATGTTTATTCAAAAAATCCTAGTGCCAAATTACGTATTCACAAACAGTTAATAAACTACAAATGTTGACAAATCAAAAGGCTACAATAAAATTGTAAAGTTCACAGAATTTGAAAATTATGCAAGAAGATCAAAGTTATTTCATTTTAGGCTACACTGTTCCTTTTAAATAGTTTTACTAAGTTTAGCATACAGCTGAAATGTGTGGAATCTCACAGCAGGTAATGCTTCAGATCTCCGTTATTTCACATCAGTTCTTTGACACAAGGAAGGCTATCCTATTGTTTCCATTTGATTTGGAATCACAATCTCTCCTACTGAAACCGTAAAGGCAAGGGAACAGGCCTTCATAAACTATGTGGCGCTTGGTCAAGTCCCATTGCTAATCATCTTCACCTTCTGCAGATTCGGATTCTAGAAAGAAAAATCAAATTTATATAATAGGTTGATTAGTTCAAAAACAACTGTTACATCCTATCCCCACTATTAATAATCTGAAAAGTAAATGAGGAATCGAATCAAATATTGAATCTGTTTGCATAGTCTCCACAGCCTCCATCCCACAGAGAAACAGAGGAGCTAACGAGCCCAGTCATGATCAGCCAACCCCACCCCCCTCCTCCCCATCTGATCAGGACAGCAGCCCAATCCTCTCAGCCGCTTGAGGGGGACAGCGGCCTAAGCAGACATGAGCCAGCACATAGCGACCCTTCCAAGACGACACCAAGCAGCAACTATTTGTGCAACAGCCCCAGTAGACTGCCTGGAGCCCAATGAACAAAGGTGTCCTGGCACAGGTCCAAGTCCACAGTGTCCTGGACTCTATACTGAAGCTCCCTACTATCACTGTGGATCCACAACTGGACCCCAAGTAAAATGTTACACTTTTCTTTATTTTCAAACATTTTAAGTTATTTCAATCATCAGTATAGGAATTTAGTCATTTAAAGTACTGTATTTCAACTTATTGGGGACAGGTGGAATATTTTGTTTTTTTTGTTTCTTATAAAAGGAAGAAGCAACAGAACTTAACTCCAGTTTTGATCCAGAAATTAAATGAAGACATCCCATAATAAGAGATTTATTTCAAATAAAAACAATTGTTCATCCCGGCAAGGAAGCAAAAAGATAACTCGGATACGAAAACAAAATTAGTTTAGATAAGATTTTCCCAGGCCCCTGAAACTTCTCCATTTCCACCAATTGCCCTGCTTTAATTGGCTACTTGTGAAGTGTTTAGCCAGCCTCTTCCATTTCTTTAACGACTTTTGTGTATTTCACCTTTATGAATGCTTTTTGAAAATTCAAACAGTACATTATTGATTCTGTTCATTACCTTCGCTCATTAAAACCTCAAACTCAATAGATATAATTGAACAGGATCATTCTGTCACTAATCCATGTAGACCTGTTAAGTCTTGGTGCTATTTTACCAGTCCTTGGCAATAGATGTTAATTTTGTCTCTGCTATGGATGTCAAGCAAATTGGCATACACAAGAACTATTTAGTTTTTCTATGTTCTTGAATAATGGGCTTTTTTTGCTCACTTTCAATCCATAGGGACTGTTATAAAATCATGGTCTCTCTCTCTCTATTAAAACTTCTGTTTGCCTCTAAGGAATCAGCAATTCCTTTTGCCAAATGCTTCCTTCACAGATCCTGAAGGACATGATCTTGTGTGTCTTGTTAGTTTGTTCTCACATTCCATTTTGACACAGCCATTTTATTGCTTTCATTTGTATTCTAAACTTCTCCCAATCCTCAAGCTTACTACTATATTTGGCAACATTATCAGGCTCTTAAATTGAAGATTACATTGATTTATTTTCTTAGTCAGCAGGACCTCTTTTACAGTGGGGTTTTTATTCTCTAAGGGAATATATACTTACTGTATTTAATGAGTTAATTCTTTAAGTATTTGCAATGCTTATCTACCATTATTTATTTTAGTTTTGTTTTCAAATATACATTGGACAACTTGCCCATCATTTAGGTTAAAGTTCTGCTAATATATTTAGTGATTCTCAAACGCTGTTGAGAGTATAGAAAGAGAAGATCAAACGTCCAGAATATGGCACCTTGGATTTCCAGATTATACTTGTACCATTTGCATACTTTCTAACCTCAAACACGATGTGCAATTATACTGACGGCAGAATCAGGCATATTTTCAAATGTCAGAATTATTGTTTTCACTCGAGAAAAGTCGGAGTACACTGACTATTTAAAAAACACGACTTATTTTAACATAGGTATTTGTCATATGTGGGGAATTTGGTGCAGGGAATGAGAAGTAAAATTATTTGGCCTTGTATTGCAAAGACACAGAAATAGATTCAAATATTTTGCTAATACTACCTTCTTCAGCATTTTGTAGCCACTCGACAAATTTCTTCATTTGCTCAAGAAACATACTTCTGCCTTTGGGAACATGTGCTTCCTTATACCATTTTAGAATGGCTTCTTCACTCAGAACATCGGCTGTGATTCAAAGCAGTTAACAAATGTCAGCAATTACTAAAATCAAATGGAAAATCCACAATCTGTAGCAAACTAAAAAGCTGCCATTCTCCTTTGATGACAGCTACTGAATTCAGGCAACACATTAAATGCCAAGTTGATAGTCTCTTCCTAATGGACTAACACAGATGCTCAGTGATATTTAAAGGCTATTGACTCAGCAGCCTGTTCAAAACTGTTCTACTATAAGTGCAACAGATCTAACAGATGCCCTTGTCATTAATCACTCTCATCCTGCAAAAGGACTCCTTTTACTAGGCCACACTAAGCATAGGTACGATCATGTGGCAGAGACATTGCTGAAGTACCAGATGGTTATAATGCTATCGGCCAGTTGACTTTGCTTGCCAACCTTGCTTAGAGTGATTAAGGCTCAGTAAAATATTTTGATCTGAGTCACAGTGGCCACTTTAATTTAGCTCCCAAATAGCCTCCTTTGGCTTCTTCTGAAATTTAGCATTATCAGGGCATGTGTAGGTGCTTGCAATCTTGTTACATTTGTGAACAGTAGTCAAAGTTTCAAAGAAAGTTGCAAATCTCAGTTCATGGTGTCACCTCAACCTGCAACTATTACCAACTAAAAATGATTCACCTCATGCCAAATGAACAGGCAGTGGCTAAATTGTGTCACAATAAAGGTCATGATTTTGGGCTGCTAGTTTGGTTTCAGCTGTTGCACAATGCAACCAGCAAAGTTTCTCTAATCCCAACCTACTGTCTGGGAGTTTAATATTAAAGTTAGAACAATTAAACAAAGCAAGCTTCAGTGGCTGTGCGCAAGATTTTCAGCAGCATATAAACTGCTCCAGAAACAAACTCTGGGGCAAGTACATATTTTTAAGGGATATTTCCAAAATGACATTGGCTAAAGCAAGATCGAAAAAAATCAACCAAAAGGTGGAAGGATAGAAAACAAATCTTGGACGGGGGTGGTGGTGGTGGTTATAGCATTGAACAGAAACTTAGCCGCACCAACTGCACCGATATTGTAGTTACAACATTCAGTCAGAGATAGGGAATTCTAGTGAGTAACCTGCCCGACGCCCCAGTGTCCATCCTCCTCCTACAAGCCACAAGTAGAAAGTGATACAATGCTCTGATATTTAGCTGCAAGACTGCATGTCCAACACCAAGTCAGCAGCACATCATCCAAAGCAAAGTAGCCCATCTGATCAGCACCCATCCACTATCTGAAATATGAACTTCAACCACCACTGGTAAATAGTGCACTCTGCTGCCACCGCCACGATCTCTAAATAGTACTCAGCAGTTAATTCAACCTGCAATATATCATCTAGAAGGAAAGGGAAGCAGATTGATGGGAACACTGACTTGCAAGCACTTCCCCTGCAAAACCCTCTCCCCCCCCCCCCCCCCCCCCCCACTAGATCAAGGTGGGAGGTTACCACCCACTATGTTTCCAAGGAAACTGGGATGGGCAATAACTGCTTGCCTTGCCAACAATGCTCACACCCCATTCAATATTCAAAAAGCACAAGTGTAGTTAAAGACATGGCATGATTCAAATTTAAGAGCATTGATGATATTTCAGTTTCATAATGCAGTAATACAAATACCATCACAAATTAAATTTAGGATATTTGAAAAGGGACAGCCTTTCAAATGCTAGTAGTTTTCGATTACACAAAATTTTAGAAATGAAAAGTGCAACAATTCTAGAGAATTGGGGCATGAGTAGAACATGTTGAGAAAGGTAATATAGAAAGTTTCCCTAGGTCTGGGAGAAGTTAAATCTTTGGGGTTGCTAATCAACTGCCCTGCTTTAAGAACACATTTGTAGATGTTGGTTGAGAACAAAATGAGGATTAGTTTTGACAGGATTCATGTTTGAATAACCTGTTTACAAGTTTCAAGCTCAAGCTTTCAAAATGACTTCAGTGATGCAATGGATCAGGGTCATGTCATCTATCAGGTTATATCCTACAAAGCCAAGAGCTTTAGTGCAGCCTGAACCCAACATAAAGGGAGGCAAATAGAAAGAAATCTGCAGAGATGAAAACACTGACATGTTTCTTGATACACGTAAGCCTTCCCCCAACTTCAGTGAATTATGCAAAATTCTTGACTCAAAATACTTGAAAGTCAAAGTATGAAGGACACCATCGTACTCTCTCCTCCTAACCCTATGTTTAAACAGTTTTCAGTTTCCTATTACAACTTTTGCACTGTTTTTTCCATTTGTTATGTCTTGTCAAACCTCCTCTGCTTAGCATCCAAAGTATCACTTTTTTTGATGATTCCATTCAGCATTCATTACTTCAAATCTCAGAGGTCAGCAATCTCAATGCAACATCCAAAGCCTGATGATTTAACCTTCACTGCTTTTCAAATGGTACTAAAAAGCATTTTCTTGCAAACGTTCAATCACATTCACTAGCATATACTGCAAGGAGTGGTGCATAACAGAATCCCTACAGTGCAGAAAGAGGCCATTCGGCCCATCGGGTCTGCATCGACTTTCTGTAGACCCTCCCACCCCCCATCCTATCACTATAACCCCACATTTCCCACGGCTAATCCACCTAACCTGCACATCCCTGGACACAATGGGGCAATTTAGCATGGGCAATCCACCTAACCGGCACACCTTTGGACTGTGGGAGGGAACTGGACTATCCAGTGGAAACCCACACAGACCTGGGGAGAATGCGCACATGCACGCAGTCACCTGAGACTGGAATTGAAGCCACGTCTTGGTGCTGTGAGGCAGCAGTGCTAACCACAGATATTGTGCTACCCGATGCTGAGAAATAGAAGAGATTGTATGCATTTTCATTTATATTGAATTTGTAAGTTCTTTCAATTCTTAAACTATAGCTTCGTTTTTTGGAATGGTTAGCTTAATAGTTACCACCTGATAGCAACACCCATCTTTATCTGTCACAACTCTTACTCTTGTTGTGATTCCTTCCATTGCTGCATCTTTTTAAAAGCTTACTTTGTCTCCTTTATGCCCGAATTCTCCCATAAACAACTTTTAACTCTACGTTGAAAAATAACTAATTGCTTGCAAAATCTGGTTTTATTTTCCACAACCACAAGTGCTCATCTACCTTGCCAGTTTGTACCTTCCTCCTATAGGATTTTAAATCCAAGTTTAGTTTAAACTAATTATTCATGATTTACCTCAGCTTTTTAAAATCAATCACTTAATGCTACCCAACCTTGGCTCTCACACGAAATTCCCACTTGTACAAGTCATCAGTTCATACAGTCTACAAGCCAAGATATGAACAAACAAGATTGCAAGATGCACATTTATGACAGACACAATAACAACTTTACATCTGTTAGGTATTAATTGTAATAGATTGCTCCTTGAAGAAATCTTGCCAATTAAATGCATACCTTTGTAAAAAAGCACAATGATCTTCTGGAAAGCCTTCATAAAGTGGATATTGTCATAGCAATATTCCTGAATCTTCTGCAGTAGGGTCAATTCTGACTGACCTTGGGTACTGAACACTGCAAGGAGTGGTGCATATTGCTGAAAATGATTACAAGTGTATTTAGCTCTCTGTAGTTGACAAATGACTATCTGCTTGCCTCCAATTATTACTCAAATTCCAAATTTCTCACAAATGTTCTAGATTACAGAAGGTATCTTGGGGTACATTTTTTTCTTCAAATGTGATTTGTAAGAATAATGGAATAATATATTAGCAATTTGAACACTTGTCTTATATGATTTTCGATCCATCATTTGTGTGTGTAGAACAAGAGAATGTGTTCATTGATTTTCCCAATGCATATTCCTGACGTGATGTTCAGAGCAGAGCACTGAAGACAAAAATGTTCCCATTTTAATTTTGTCCACATTTTTAAAAAGTTAATAATATTTATTGTCCAGCTAAATATTCAAAATGATTCCAACAAAAATAATTTATTACAAAAATCTTCAAAAATAGCTTTATAATGACCAGAATAATAAATCGTGAAATAGTCTCAAGACAGCCACATTTTGGTAATTGTGCAGGGAATAAAGGTGACACTGAAATGGGTTAAATTGAACAACCTTTCATCTCTGGAGTGTGACTGACATGCTACTTTGTCAGCTTCCCATGGGGCAGCATGCAGAAGACTGGCTTGCACATACCAGCCAGCTGTTGGAACCAGGTACCCAACCTCAAGGTAGGGCTTGCCATCATGTACACAACCGCAGGGAGGAGGAGACAGGAAATGTGGAGCGGGGAGAGGAGCCACTATCTTTATGCTTACAAGCTGAAAAGTGGATTGCAAGATACATAACATTTTTAAGCCGCGAATTTCAACGCTTTTAACCGAAGATTTTGCAGATACATGTTCATAAATGAGTGTTATCAAGTTTTTGTAAACTATTTAAACAGCTCATGTGCTTTTAAAATCCCACACTTAATTAATCTAGAAGGGACGAATGAAGCTAGAAAAACCAACTATATTATCACAACTCATTAAGAATCAAAAAGTCGGCGAGAATCTACCATCTCTAGTTCCTACACTCAAATGGGTAACTGTTCATTCTTTGAAGTGCATACCTTTAGATGTTTCAGAGCTTGTTCTGTGACTAGTTCCTCTTTCTTGTTCCATTCAACAGCATTCATTACACAGGTCCACAGAAGTCCAATTACTGCCTGTTCTGGCAAGTCATTTCTCTTCATCTCATCTTTGAGATACAAGACTATCTGAAGACAATAGGTTTCGGTGAAATGATTCGTGCCTGGCACTAACCACAAACTTCCTTCTTTCCATCTTTCTCCCGATTCCTTTCCCTAAACTGTTTATTTGGTGCAGAATGTTTCTCATACCAGTCCCTCTCTTCAGCCCCAATCACATTCACACAATTGTCTTGGACAACACAAGATTACAGTATTTAATTTGGGGATGCTTCACAACTGTGCCCAATCAAGCTGCCACATTCACATTTATTGCAAGGATCACTGGGGTTGTTTTAGCCTCTCTTGCTGAGAGATCCTGATGCCAAACGTAGTAGCTGTCACCATCCCAATGGAGATCAACTAATAAAGCATCTACTGATTAAACTTAGTTGGACATTAGGAAAAGTAGGTACTCGCACTTCAAAATTAACAGTTCAGCTGAAAGGCAAGTACATCTTCACCATATATTCTGCACATCCTTTTTTTTTTAATAATAAGCAGTACATCAATCCAAAATTCCAACATGTAGTTGCTCATTTCTCAGCTATTCCTTTAGGGACTGAAAGGTACTACATACAAAATAATGCCATTCTGACAGCAAGGGTTTGGCCCTGTTTCTGACACCATGCTACTGGAAAACAATATTAAATGGTTAGCATTCCAGGGGTGATGGTCAACAGATATTTTGAAGCTGTGTACCTCAAATTACAAAGTCTTAGGTTGCAGCTGAGTTTCCCCAAGCACAGGAAATCTGGCGGGTGAAGGGAGGTGATGGGATTTTTCCAAAACAAAAAATTTACATAGTGCCTTTAACACAACTAAATATCCCAAAATTTCAAAGATGCATTGTACAACAAAACACTGGCATATTGACTGAGATATAAATCAGAAATGAAGGGGTATGAAGTCAGAAAAAAGTATGGCAGACAGTTGGGAGTGTTATAAAGAGGGTATTCCAGAGACGAGCGCCTAGCTAACTTAAAGCACAGCGGTTAGCACTGCTGCCTCACAGCACCAGGAACCCGGGTTTGATTCCACCCTCGGGTGACTGTCTGTCTGTGTGGAGTTTGCACATTCTCCCCGTGGCTGTGTGGGTTTCCTCCGGGTGCTCCAGTTTCCTCCCACTATCCAAAGATGTGCAGGTCAGGTGGATTAGCCATGCTAAATTGCCCAGTGTTCATGGATGTGTAGGTTAGGTGGGATGGGTCTGAGTGGGATGCTCTGAGGGTCAGTGTGGACTCGTTGGGCCGAAGGACCTATTTCCACACTGTAGGGATTCTATGATTCTACCTATAACTGGTAGGAATTCTATGATTCACCAACAGAAGGAAAACAGACTGAAAAGGCCAGAATCAGACAACAGATTGCTTCGGATTGTGGGGATGAAGTGCAAGAACTTCCCCAATTTCTCAAGCAAATCAGCCCTGTTCCCATGTTCCAATCTCCCTCCAGTACCTGTTGACCAGAGTTTAAATTACTTCCACATCCAGCCCACTACCCCAACTCGGAGCTCCTTTCCGTTCGACTTCATCCCTTGGCCACAAAAAGTTCCACGAAAAAGATCACCTTCCCTTTTTAAACGATCTCAGTTCATAATGGTTCCACTTTTTAAAATGACTGGTCTTGTTCTACAGCTATGTTTTTGAGAACTCTTTATAATATTTATGACTATGAGCCAATTATCTAGCAATTAGAGTATTAAAGTTTTCAAACCACCTCTTGGCTAACATACCTCTCTTATGGGGCATTCCTGAGAAAGTTTTTCTTTGAGTTCTTTTTGCAGCTCTTTGCGAGTTCCCAGAGATTGCTGGACTCTAAGAAAGTCAGATAGTTCCTTCAGACCTGCATTAGTGAAGTATGTGGCAAAATGTTCAAAGTTTTGTTTGTTTGCTGGGAAGAGTTCCTATGGAGGGAGGAAAAAAGTGTTAGGCAGTTTAAAAAAATTCACTGCCCATGGTCCATGTATAGTAATTCATGGCTGATAATTCAATATAATCCAAAATATATACTTTCAGACAATGATTTATCCTAAAATATCAATTGCACTAATAACTTAAATGTAAACAGCAAATCAAAGTTTTCAGACAAGTTGTTGGAACCTGGTCTTACCATCTCCCCTTCCCAAGTGCTGAAGCCAAATGAACTTTGCGGATTTCAGCCAAAGTGATTATTCGCCAAGTGAGCAAAGACCATGACTTGAACTTGGTTGGGAATTTTCTAATATTTATGGCTCAGCTATTCACTGCCTTCACTAGCTGCAGCATTAAAGAGTAAGCAATCTTAGTTTAATTATCTCTCTTCCCAATGTTTTACAGATTTCCATCTTTAATAGGAACTCTCAAGCAGGTTTTCACTACCTTGAATTTAGAATAGAGTCATATAGCACAGAAACAATCCCTTCAGTCCAAGCCAATCCTAATCGGAAACTAAACTAGTCCCACCTGCCTGGTCCTGGCCCATATCCCTCCAAACCTTTCCTATTTCTGTATCCATCCAAATATCTTTAACATTGTAAGTGTGCCCACAGCCGCCACTTCCTCAGGAAGTTCAATCCACACGAACCACCCTGAAAAATTTGCCCCTCTTGTGTTGTTTAAAAATCTCTCGCCTCTCACCTTTAAAAAAGGTGTCCCCAGCCTTGAAATCTCCCATCCTAGAGAAAAGACACCTATCATTAACCCTATCTATACCTCTCGTAAATCCCATACTTCACCTATTAACAGGTTCTTCATTCAATAGACAAATTGGGGCATGCATAATGTTAGAAATTATAGGCACTTGATTTGGATATTCATGTGCATTTTCACCTAGAAAATTTCCTCAGACGTTGATGCAAATGCTAATTCAAATTAAACATTTTAGTAGTACACAAATTATACTGCCATCTGTCGCTCTTTGCTGATATCGTACGCAGACGTCAAATTTTCTCCACAGTAGCAATTTCTTACCTTTCTCCCAGACTAAAAAAACTTCCCTAAATATTTCAGAATTTAATCTCAACCTGGTCTTTTGTGAAGGCATATTAATGCCCAGTTGTAAGGTGCCCGAGTCAGATATAACTCACCAAAAGCCTCTTGTCCAAATTGGATTTTTTGAGGGATGAGGTAACAGCATTTGCATCTTTTTCTGCCATCCAAGCTTTAAAAACCTTGACAGCAAATGATGCAGATATTCCTGTTTTAAATAAATCAGAAAAATACAGATTGAAGCTGATGTTCATAGGCCATAACGTCAAATGTGGTCAGGTTGGTAGCACTCACCTTAAACGAAAAGGTTTGGGTTCAAGTTTCATTTCAGGCACTAAACTACAATGAAAGGTGATAACTGTGACTGATGAAATTTTGAAGCAAAGCCCTGTTTCTTTCTTAAGGTGGACATTAAAAATTCCATGTCACTATTTTGATAAACAGCGGAGAAATTGGTTATTATCAATTACTCTGTGGGAACTTACTGTGGGTAAACTGACAGCCACATTTCCTACACATAATGGTGACTACACTTTAGAAGTTAGAGTCATTACACAACAGATGATCTTTTGGCCCATCAAATCCATGCTGGCTAGCCACAGAGCAATCCAGTCAATCCCATTCTCCTATCAACCCCTGTAGTTTTGCAAGTTTATTCCTTTTTCAAGTACCAATTGTGTTTACTCTTCAAATCAGACTGTTTTCACTTGCACCCCCCACATGGGCAATTATTTCCAGGTCATTATCATTCACTTCAGGGCTTTGGGAAATTATGGCTCTAAGAGTCTCTATATAAATGCTAGCCTCTCTCTTTCACATTAGATTGAACACATGGTTAGTAGCTTTGATTGTTCATTCTCTGTTATTCATTGCATTCTGGCCGATTCCAAGTCCTGCCTGATAGAATTCGGGTATATGATCTACAAAAAGGAACAAGCTCCATCATACAACATTACTGTTTAATTATACCACAAATCAAAAAAAAAAGTACAAACAATTGGCATTTGGTTTAGACAGGATTGAGGTCAATAATATTAATTGTGTTTTGTTTGAAAGTTTTTCTTAAGAAAATAATTACTTTCATGCTGCACCCATGGGAGTTTAACCTAACTTGCCGGTCAGGAAAGGCACAGGATTAAGTGGAACACCAGTTACATCCTGCCTGCAACTCTTCAGTGACTTCAGTGGAGAGCACAATTGGCTGAAGTGTAAAACCAACACTGCATCCAATGTTGTTAGTTTTCCTACCTATGGGTTAGGGAAAGAAATTGCTGCATGTATCAGAACATAACTGGGCAGAATTTGCCCAGACTAATCCTTGAAGAGAAAACAGCTAGAAAGTTGGGAAAATACAGCAAGCAAAAATATTGGAACCTTTAGATTTCCAAAACTTCCTCTAAAAAGTGATTCAGAATCTCACTAATAAGTGCCATCTGCCTCATTTCTATGCCACTACCAATTTGTCTTTCTTTGTCAACTATACGAGGCAAATTGCTAACTTGCATGTTAGTCCAAGCAGCAACAACTTGCTGATTGCTTATCCAAGCCTTCGTCCAATTTGATCTTTACCATGACGTCCCTCAGACAGGATCCTGCTGCATGCTTCATTCACAAACCACTGGCCTCAACACATCATCACTTTCAGTCCAATTCCTACACCATTTCAGCCTTTCAAGACGCAGACACCCATGACTTGAAGACTTCTGCCTTACTGCTTTCAGTGTATGGACACAGACATCTCCTGCATCAACACAGGATGCATCTTATGAAATCAGCCTACATTCCCCTGCCGGTTTAGGTCATTAGAACTAACGTGGACCACAGCCTCTGACTGCTCCCCTCCCATAGAAGGAAGTCCTGCAACCACCCCGTGACACCCTTAACCCAAGAACCAGGGAGGCAACACCATCCTGGAGTTATATTTACTGCCACAAATGTCCGACTGATTCCCAGACTGTGAAATCCCTTACGACTGTTGCTCCTTCATTCTTTCTCCTCCCCTATGTCACCAGTGCTGCCATGGGCTAGGCACTGGCTGCATTTGCCTGAGGAACTTTGACCCTCAGTTCTCCGTATGAAATGCCTACTGGCAAGCAAGAGAGGTTCAAGGAACCCTTTCACTACCTGCTTGTTTCTTCAACTGTTTGGTGCTCCCCTATTCTGCCCCAGTCTGTACGCTTCTAATCTGTGGGGTGACTCCCTCTCAATATGTGCTAATCATGTAGACCTTTGCCTTACATGTAGAACAGTGATGCCAACTGCTGCTCAAGGAGTACGCTGCCTCCTTGGTGCTGGGGTTAAGGATGCTGCAGAGTGGTTGCAGGACATCCTTCTAAGGGAAAGGAGCAGTCAAAGTTGTGATCCACATTGATGTCAACGATGTAGATAGGAAGAGGGACGTAGGCAGATTTCACAGAGTGAAGAAATAAAGGACCTCAAGAGAAGTAATTTCAGGATTACTCGCAGTGCCGTGAGCTAGCAAGCATAAGTACAGGGGAATCACTTGATTGAACACTTGGCTGGAGAAATGATGTTCAAGGGACTACAGTTCTGAGGCTCTGCACCAGTTCTGGGGCAACTGGGATCTGCACAAGCTGAATTGGTTACATTTTAATGGGGCTGGGGCTGATATCCTTTCAAGGAGATTTGCTAGTATTGTTGGGGTTGGTTCAAACTAGAAAAGCGGAAAAGAAGACAGGATGACAAGAAACAAAGCCAAAACACCGAGTCTGCTTTGAATGCAGAATGATGTCAAAAAAGGACAAACTTAGCAGTCTGCCTGAAAGCATGCAGTATTCACAACAAGCCACGTCATCTAAAGGCAAATAGAGGCAATTCATAATGATATAATTACTACTACAGAAAAAATATCTGCTTGATTACCATGACCGGAAATCAACGTTTTTCAACCTTTAGGAAGGACAGACAAGGAAAAGGAAGTGGAGTTGTGCTGATAATAAGGGCTGAGATCAGTACATTGGTCAGGAAATATCTCAGAATGGAAGAACAATATGCGGAATGTGTGGAACGAAGAAACAAGCAGACATTGGTTGGAGTTATTTATAGGCCATCTAATAGTAGTGGCAGTTTGGGACATGGTACTAATCAGAAAATGAGAGACGCTTGTAGCATGGATAACAGAGATCATGGGTAACTTCAATCTACAAATGGACTGAGTGAACCAACTGAGCACTAAAGCTGTGGAGGATGCATTTCTGCAGCATCTTAGAAATGGTTCTCTAAAGCAACATATTGAACAACCACCTACTGGGGACTACATTATAAAGCAATAATTTGGACATTGTGACTGAACATAATTCAAATTTTGTAGATGGCTTAAAGCTAAGCAGGAGTATGTGATCTAAGGAAAATGTCAAATATTTCAGGAGGATTTGGATAGGTGCAGAGATTGGGAAAGAACATGGTAGATGGAATATAAATATGGGAGAATGAGGTTTTCCACTTTAGTAGCAAGAGCACATGTTCAGTATTTCCTAAATAGTGAGAGGTTGAAAAGTGTATGTGAAAAGGGACTTGTGGGTCCTTGTAATAAGTGACTGAATGCCAATAGGCAAGTGTAGCAAGTTATTAGGAAGGTTAAAAAACCAAAAGAACTGCGGATGCTGTAAATCAGGAACAAAAACAAAGTTGCTGGAAAAGCTCAGCAGGTCTGGCAACATCTGTGAAGGAGAAAACAGTTAACGTTTTGGGTCTGGTGACCCTTCCTCAGTATTAGGAAGATTAATTGAATGTTAACATTATCTCGAGAGGAACTGAGTACAACAGTAACAAAGTCTTGCTGCATTTCTTTCAGATCATGCTTAGATTGCAACAGGAGTACTGTATGCAGTTTTGGTGGTCTTACCTCAGGAAAGATATTACCACCACAGAGGCTGAGCATCAAAGGCTCACCAGGTTTATTGCTGGAATAGCAGGTCTGTCTTATGACAAAAGATCGGGCAAACTGGGCACGTATTCTCCAGAATTTCAACGAATCAGAGGTGACCTCATTGGAACTTAGAAAATGCTTGAAAAGGATCAACAAGTTAGTTGCAGGAAAGATGCTTCTCCCTGGTTGGGGCATTTAGAAGCAGAGGTGCAATTTCGGATCAAAACAAGGAGAACTGTTTCCCCAGATGGGTTGTGGAAGTCCAGTCTGAGTATGTTTAAAGTCCAGGTTGCTAAATTTTGATCAGTGGCTAAAAAGCATTGAAGTGTTACAGGAATGATGGCTCCTGTTCCTACATTTGTGTTTTGTGAAACATCTGTAATACTTGCTACAAATACAACCCACAGTCTTTGATTGTGATTCATGGGAAATTGAAGTATCATGTTGACTACAGTATCTATAAATTCAAAAAAGTATGGACATTAAATATACAATGAAGGGTGGCCTTTCCTATCGGATCTAGTGAAATTACGCTCTTAATAGCAATAAATTTTGTTTTATTCTTTCAACGTGACAGGAGCTCAAAATTATAATTTGACATAATGATGATTATTGGTCAATAATGGTCTCCGAGTGAACATGACAGACTAATTGTACACACACTTCCATTATATATAATTAGACTTAGACTTATTTCTGTACAATGCAAAAGTTTCCTTTTAAAAAGGTACAGAACCCCAGTATACATACTCTTCCAAGTAATGGGCAGGAGCTGAAGTTGTCACAAAATTACAAACACTACTCTGCTTGGGAAAGATTTAAGTTTTTGAACTCAAATGATTACTTATTAAAATCAAAACATTTTCACAAATTCATTTCTACAAGTGGGTGGAGTTGGAGAATGATTCAGAAGCTCAAATATTTCACGTGAAATAACTTTTTTGTTAAACCAGCAACCAAACAGATCAATTTTTTGAACATTTTAACTTCTTTATTTGCAATTACCAATATTACAATTCCAGTAGTTCAAAAAGTAGTAAAAAGCTGGCTGATGTAACATTATGCACAAATTTAATGCACTTATTAGGAGGACTGCCATTTTTACATTCATCACTAGACCCCAAACTCAAGCAATTACTTTTCATTTTTAATTACTAACTTTAACTCAAACTACTTTTAGAAAAAAAGTGAACATGTTCCAGTATTACCTTCTTTAACCAAATTATCCGAAAATAGGCTTGTTAAAATTGTAGATGGGAGTGATCCATTGGCCAAGAGGATACCAGTTAGCGTTGCCAACTTAGTCTGTTCTGAAGCCGAAAATGCTTTTAGGAATAGCAATAGCTGAGAAAGTATAACAAAAATAGATTTGCAAAGGAAGAAAGCATAATGAGGAACATTTGATATTACATGCACATCTTACACTATTTTGTCCTTTCACATTCACCTGTTTCTTTTATCTACAAGACTTCATGTTTTCATGCCTATGTATTTTGGCTGTGCAGTTAAAGTTAAAATTGAGATCAATGTGGAATAGACTGCTAATTCACTTGCACTCGTTTTACATTTTGCAAATTGTTGAAGTCTGCACCAACTACTTTATATGGTGACCTTGGTTAGCACAAAAGACTTACTAAGTACTTTTATAGCTTTATGCATCCAAATATACTGCTTTAAAACAACCCTTGAAAAAATCATTGCTGTTTCAATATCTTTCTTCTCTTTCCAACTGCTCCTACATATATTTATCCTCAACAATGGCTCTCTCTTATACTAACAGTCGTTCCACAAGGGTTCTTCTGCTAAGGCCTTAACTTCAACAGAAAGCTCATTCACAGCATTGTTCCTGAGCGTTCTACAGCAACTGACTGAAATTGCCCCATGGAAATTCTAACCCATTATCTTTCACAAAAAAAAAAAGTGCTGAGCTAGGATGGCCTCAATAAAAGTACACTTTTGCAAAGTAGAGACCTATATTCTGCTACCACCTCCCCCCACCAGGACTTCAATATGAACTTCATGTTTACTGTTTGATAGCAAGTCCTTCATACTTGCTTACCTCATGACTTCATTTGACACCCCCTTTGAAGCTATGGTACGACATTCGCTCCAAAATAATTCTCCCCTCCCCCCAAACAGACTCTGTCATTCTCCCCCATGTGTCTTGAAGCCACCCTGATTCAGGTTATCCACTGTTCCATCCCACAAGGCTGCCTTCTTCACAAGTGAGCTCAGTGAGTGGTGGCAGATTACATATTGCAGAGAACCTCAAAGCTCATCTTTAATCCTGTCCTCACCTGAGGTCCACGTGCGCAGACTTACAGCAAGTACCACTTGATAGCAATTAGAAGCAAGAATCCTGTTCAGTCCAAGGATGTTGAAGCAAATTGTGGTGCCTCAACTGCTGTCCCAATGGAATTCAGTGAACTCAGCAATGACTGTTGATGGAACCTCAGATATTACTATTTGCACAATTTAACTCTATGAAGCCTTATCAGTCATGATTTCAATGCCATATTGAGAAAGAATAAAGGTTAACTTTGGAAACAGACTTGTAACAATTCTTCATACTCAGGGATTCTGATGAGATTATGCAGAGTCTAGTTTAATTTGCTAGGAATAAAGTACCTTTTTGATGGAATCTTCAAACGCTTTTTCCAGATATTTGTAACGCCTGATAAGCTTATTGAAGACCTAAAAAGGAGAAGCAAAAAGAAAAGAATTAAAATCTCTAAATGTCCAGCCCAACTATGAAATTAAGCCTATAATTTGCTTAAAATCTCAAGATTAAAAATAACAGTACCTGGTTGCATTTAACTGCATTGTCAGCCCCTATTCCTGCTTATATACAGGAAGGCAGATTATGTATATGAAATATTTTACATTGGCTGATGTGGTTCTCTGATCCTATAAGTGGTACAGTTCTTAAGAGATACTCTGCCACAAAAATGCAGTACACTCACACTTCATATCAGCATCCATGATGCTACTGAACAGAAGGAGCTGCAGACAGCTTTGCTAAAGTACAGATTAAAAGAAAAACAAGTCTTTTCGCTACCCATAGGTGGATTGTGATGGGGACATCACCCTAAACTGCAATCATGAAACTATTTCTGGCAGCACAGACACGACCACTTTCAAACTGACCTGTTGTCCAAATTGGGACGAGGTGACCAAAGTTGAAATGGTAGCTGGCAATGCTGTCTTCTTGTTGACTGGCTCAGTCTCTTCATTGAAATCTCAGTTACGCCCATTTATGAAATAAACTTACTGCACTGGGAGCTGCACTGAATGCAAAATGTATTCTTTTTAAATTTAGGGAAAAAAAAGGATATGTTGCTTTTAGCCCTGAACTAACTAATTCATTGCTATAAATTAACTGACATTTAAGTTGATAAATTGTATTTTTAATGTATGTTGTCAGATAGAGGTTACATTGCAAGGTTTCAGACAGGAATCTGTTGGTATCACCTAAAGTAGTTTTAAGCTGGTGCCTACTTCACAGCCACGTGCCAAAGCACCTGCTTACCTGAGCGTAGTTTCGGATGATTTGTTGATCTTCAGTGGCACCAAATACACAGTATTCGGTCACCTTGGTTCTGTCTCCATCATCAATACGTGTTCCTCCTGGGGCTACAAGATGGGAATAAACAATCATCTTTGTTTCAAGTGTCACATGCTAACTACTACCAGTTACATCTTTGAAATTCATATTAATATTCAAGTCTCCTTCACATCAGATCGATTAACTATTTTAAAGTGGTGTATGAGCAATCTCAAACTGCCCAACTCTATTTCCATTCTGATTATTTCCACATGCTGCACATTTCATAAGGCAGAACAAATTCAGCAACTAAAAACTTGCCTACAATAGCAGCTTTAGTCCCAATTTATTCTAACAATTTGCATTTAAATAGCACACTTTAAATAGTAAAATGCTCCAAAGTATTTCATAGGAGTGTAAATAGAGCGCGAGAAATGGCACCAAGCTAAAAAAAGGATGTACTACAACAGAACCAGAAACTTAAAATCAATCAGAGGTGGGTTTGAAGGAGCATTTGAAAAGGAGGAGGGAGGCTTTGAGAAGGAACACTAGTGCCTCGGCAACTGTACATGGCCACGAAAAATAGGGCAAAGCTCAGGGAGGAGGAAAAGGCCAAACTTGCAAGAATGTGCAGACTTAAGCATTGTAGTGCAGAACAAGGTGAGAGATTGGGAGGGTCAAAGGTTTGCAGAGATTTGGACACAGATGCAATTTAAACTTTGAAGTGTTGATAGGCAAGGAAGCAATACTAGTCAACAAGCAGCGGTGACAAGTGAAACAAACTCGACTTGCCACCTAAACATGGGAAGAGTCGTGCATTGATTCAAATTTACAAAGGATGGGTGATGGGTGGTCAGGCAGGAAACATTGAAACAGTCGAGTTTGGGAATAAAGAAGCCTAAATGAGGACTTTTAGCAGGAGAGGACTTCAGACAGTCATGGAGACAAGTGGATATTACAGAACTGGAATTAGGCGGTCTTGTTGATTGACAGGACAGGGAGTTCAAAGCTCAGCCCAAGGTAATGGAGGAAGGCCAAGGTTGCTGGCAGTCATTAGGCAAAGGAAAGAATTAGAATAAATCTCTGCTCATCTTGTACATACTGTCAGAGCCGCAGCCTGACAACACTAAATGCAATGGAAGGATTAAGAAAGTGTTGAAAAGAGAGCTGTTTATCATCAGTATACATGTAGAACCTAACATCGTGCTTTTGGACATATTGTCAAGGCAGCATTTAAGTGAGAAACTGGATGGGGGCCAAAGATTGATCATTGAAGGGAGCAACATTCACTCTAAGCTGCACGGTTGTTGGACCGCGAGCCTATGAAGCTCAATCTGCATGCCATTCTCAGCACTGACTTCTGGTTTCAGAAATCAGCTATGCACGGACCTCGAAGAAACCAAAACTAGAGAGAACGTATTGGTGAGGTGACTGTGGAAGCAGACATTTTCTGAATATGCCTGAACAGTTAAGAACAAGTTCATGGACTGTGGTCCCAATGCGCTGCAGAATGGAGGTCTGAGGTGGATGGTGTAGTTAGCTAATTCAAAATCCTTCAGTCAAGGAGAATGAAGAAAGTACACCATACTCAGAGACAATGGATAAAAGGAAGGAGACATGGAATGTCATTTATGGTTTTAATTAGGACTATTTCAATTTTGTGGAAAAGACTGAAGACACTCAAGAAGCTGCACTTTCTCTTATTCATGATCGGGACGAGGGCATTGCTGGCTGATCCAGCATTTATTGCCCATCCCCAAGTGCCCAGAGGGCAGTTCAGAGTCAACCACATTGCTAAGAGTCTGGAGTCACATGCAGGCCAGACCTGACAAGGATGGCAGTATCCTTTCCTAAAGGACATTAGTGAACCAGCTGGGTTCTTCCCGATAATAGACAATTAATTCATGGTCATTCGATTCTTAATTCCAGATTTTTTTTCTTGAATTCAAATTCCACCATCCGCCATGGCAGGATTCAAACTCGGGTCCCCAGAACATTGTCTGGGTCTCTGGATTAACAGTCCAGTGATAATACCACGAGGCCATCACCTCCCCTTGATTATCCAGGATAAAGCATCCCATTTGATTGGAGTGACATCTACATACATCTACTCCCTCCACCATCAATAGTAGCAATGGATACCATCTACAAGATGCACTGCAGCAATTCAAAAATTCTTAGACAGCACCTTCCAAACTCTCAGCCACCAATAACCTAGAAAGAAAGGGCAGCAGATACAAGGCAACACAAACTGCATGTTCCCATCCAAGGCACTTGTCACCCAGACTTGGCAATAGCTTGCCCTTCTTTCAAGGTCACTGGGTCAAAGTGCTGGAACTCCCTCACTAAAATTGTAGATACACCTAAAGCATATGGACTGCAGAGATTAAAAGGAGGTAGCTCACCACCACCTTCTCAAGGGAAACCAGGGATGGCAATAAATGCATACCTGAGTGCACAGTCTGAGTTTTCCGCTAACTGATGTCATTACACTTTGGACACACAGATAGCTGACCGACGGAAGACACTGACTCCATGACCGAGGTTGACTGAAGGAGATGTGGTTACAGTTAGATTAGAATGTCATGTTGTGCTGTTATGTAACAAAATGTTACATCATTGTCTGCTCTGGAAACTGCCGTAATACAAGCTGCCCATTTGGTCTTGCTCTGTCTAATGACAGAAGTTAAATCAGAGCATTTATAACCTTGGCATCCTGATGAGCCACAAGCTGGGCTTTTAACACCATATCCTTTTAGTAACAAAGGATGCCCATCTCAACATCAACCACCTCTACCCCTCAGCTCAGGAGGCTGCTAAATCCACATTTATTCATTTCAGTCATTCGTGTCCCTTTCAGACTCAACCATTCCAATCTTCTCCAAGGTGACCTCACTTCTTGTAAACTTCAGCTCATTCAAAAACTGTTACCCATTATCTTTAGATCCATTAAGTCCAGCTCCCCTATCATTCTTGTCCTCACTGACCTTCAATGTTCTCAATTTAATGCTTCCAATCCTATGCTGTTAGCGTAACTTAGGGTACAACTTCTGAATTCCTTTGGCTTGTGCTTCCTGTCCATCATCTCCATTTCCTAATACTGGTAGGCATGCCTTTAGTAGATAAAATTTTACATTTGGAAATTTTTCCAAAACCTATCTTTCCGTCTATCATCCTCCTTTAAGATACACATTAAAATCAACCTCTGATTATTCTTGCAGGACTTTGTAACTAAATTAAACATGAAATGTCAATTTCCCTACAATCACAATGAACATTTATTGATCAATCAAATATACATTACAGTCAACTGTAAACAATGGAGACTTTAGTGATTTAATATCATGTTACTCGGCTTAGCCGCACTTCATTGTGAACAAAATGAAGGTAACGCGCTCGTGGGTTTCAAAAATTAAAGGACAAATACCGGAAGCACTTGTTTAGCACATTTCCATTACACAGAACCACATTGTGACAATGTGCAACCTTCTCCAAGCTTATAAATCTTTATTAGGCAGCAGAGGAAGGCACGTGGGGAGCTACCAGGGGAAGAGAACATAACTCACCAGTTTTGTTTTAACGTGTAGTGTTTTAGAAGAGAAGCAATTAGATTTAACTAAATCGAGTCTTTGTATGACTTTGTAACAAATGTACAAATTTGTACCTGTATAGTCCTTCAGCATTTTATTCCTCAACACTATATTTTGACTGAATGCATAAGGATGTCTCACTACTTCAGTCTTTACGTAGTCTGGACAGCAATTTGTTTGGATTAGTACTTTGTGATCTTCTGCACAAGTTTCAAATGGTTTTGAAGTTTTAGGCAACTTTTCCACTACATCCTGCACTCAAATTAAGAAACTCATTTCAGTCATCCACACCACAGAGACAAAAATCACTTAATAAATAGCCCCCAAGAGCATTTGATCTAATGAGGATCTTGTACCAATTGATCAATGGCCCTTAAAGAAGAAATGGTCAGTGGTAAGTGTAAGTGAGGGACTCTTACCAATTAAGCAAAAACAGTCAGTGAGCTCAGTATCAATCATGGAGGCCTGAAAACATGCATCACTATCTTAATCGTCAAATTAGATATCACAAAATATTCTTGTGTCTTCGTAAGGAATCATTAAAGATACCAAATAATGAATGAAAATTGAATAATAATTCCTTTTTTTGAAAAACAGGCAGCAGCTTAAAGTAACTGAGGTGCATGCCAAGTTTGAAAGTTAGTAAAGCCTGTTGTCCAATCAGAAGATCCCACAGGTAAATGGAGAGAGACCAGAGTGTCTTGGCTCCACGTCCCAAGTTGAACTGGAAGGCAGGAGCTACTGTATGTTGTAAAATCACTGCCTTGTTTTAAGGATTATTATTTTATGACTTCAGTAAAGTTTGCTGAGCTACCTCCTCAGACTGTCTCCTGCTGCCTTAATTGTTAAAGTTTCAAATGGACAATTGTGGAAAATCAGTTTCCGTACACCTCTGAAAGGCCTCAAGATATTTTTCTAAACTAAATAAAATGTAGTTGTACTTGTGGCAGCATCAAGGGAGAGCTTATTAAAAACTGCTCCACAACAAAATATTCATTTGCTTCTAGTATTTTGAATAAATGCTTTATACTTTAAAATGACTTTAAAAAATTGTCTTGGACATTAAAAACAATTAGAACAAAGGAAGCAGTTATCAAAAATGAGCTTTTAGATTTTTGTCTATATCAATGAATAAACCACAGTTTTAAACCAACACCCTTAACATTTATATTAAAACCACATTTCATTCTTCTTTTGTTACTTAGTCTATTAAAGAAAGTTGAATTCATATTTACCAAGCATACTCCCAGCTATCAATATATCAAATAGAGTGTCTGCATAACGACGGTAATCTAGTCTCGAACCCGTTACATCCAGAAACTTGGATACTGCTTCAAGGTCATTTCCAGCTTCATTGAGACCTTGAATGATTGTGTCTCTGAAGACTGTTGGTTCAAACTTCTCCTTTTCATCTGCACAAGAGATAGCATTCCAGTCACACAAATCACCTCCAATCTACCCAGATAACAATTATACAATTTGCACCATACTCAAGTCATCAGTCTTTTCAAGTAGCATAGACACTTTGTAGTGAGGGTGGTTGGAATAGCTGAACTCGTCAGGGGAGTTATTTTTGTGGTGACGACAACTTGACAGCAGTAATTGTGGTATCAATTATTGATTACTTTATTGGGTTATGGAATAGTTTAAACAAATCTCTACTTGATCGTGCAGACAAAAGATTGAAGTGAGACAAGGTGTAGAGCTGGATGAACACAGCAGGCCAAGCAGCATCATAGGAGCAGGAAGGCTGACGTTTCGGGCCTAGACCCAAAACATCAGCC